GTGGCCAGGTGCTCTGCGATCATCTTGCCGCAGAAGCAGACATGGCCCGGGTGCCCACTGGTGAGGTCATAGATAGCGTCGGCTATCCCAGGGGCCAGTTCGACGTTGGACTCGCGTGAGTACTGGTTGAACAGCTCGCGAACGTGGTTGCGCTCGAACATCGGCAAGGCGAACGCATCGCACGCGTTGAAGGGAGACGAGGGGTGGTCCTGGAGGTTTAGTATGCTGTAGGGTCCGACTCCGATGAAGGCGTGCAGGCCGTGGCTGGCCTCGGACTCGCGCATGGCGCGCAGTGTGACAAGGAACTGGTCCCTGACCAGATCGGCCGCATTGTTCAAGAGATCGAACTGGTCGACGATCAGGACCACCTTACGTGAAGCCCACGGCTCCCCACGAGAAGAAGGCGATGAAGGTCTGGGCGTCGTGGATCTGGTCCACGCCATCATCAGCCGTGTTGCGCAGGTGGCGCTGGATGAACCTGCCCATCGCCGTCCAGAACTCAGCCACGAACCCGAACGGGATGCCTTCCTGAAGGGAGATCATGGCACACTCATAGCCTTCGTTCGCGAGCTGGTCGCGCAGTTGAAGTAGGCGAGTGGTCTTGCCGCCACCGGGAGTTCCGTGCGCCAGGACGTAGCTGCGGCTCGCCACTCCGCCCCGCTTGGTGGTGAGCAAGCTAGCCAAGGAGGCGTTGCCCTCAGTGGTGTTGATGAAGAAGACGTGGTCTCGCTCTTGAGGGTAAATGGCGTTGGTGGTCCAGCGCTTCTGAATGAGCAACCATCAGCACCCCCACCCCCCGAGCAACATGCAACAAAAATTGGGGTTTGGTAGTTAAAGTGAGTGACAGATGACCAACATAAGACTTCAGAAACACTGTTCATACCTGCATCTCAAGTGTTGCGACCAGAAAACAACAAAAACAAAGACTGCAGACCAACAGTTGGACCGCCCTTACCAAAACAGTACTGTTTGGGTGTCGACATGTAACCTTCTGCCCGAGCCAGCCGGCCGACTGCACGTGACCACCTCGCCGATCGCAGCGATCCCACACCATCGACAAAATCTATTGTCCTTGTGGGGACGGAGTTTGATAGATAAAAAGGACCTCCTACTGAACCTATTATTGTGCCGGCCAAGGAAGAATGGACAAGACGTCAGTGCCCGTGGGGCTCATCGCGGACCAGCAGCAGTTCGTGCCCACGGTCGCCGACTGGTGGTGGCACGAGTGGGGCGATTCCTACGTCGTACTACTCACCCCCCCCCACAGTCACAGTACAAATCATTTTATTTTATAATACTAAAACCAACCAAAATAAATATGATTAGTTATTGATTTATTTGTGTTTTATGGGGCCGCCAGGACCTCGGGGTGCACAACAGGGACGAAGCCGAGGCATACCTTCGCAAGAACTTCCTGCATGCCGACCGCATTCCGCTGTGCGTGGTGGCCTGGACCACGGACGACGCCAAGGGCCAAGCCCGCGTGTGCGGCACGGTGTCGCTCGACGTGCAGGACCTCGCCATTCGGCCCCACCTCGGGCCGTGGCTGGTCAACACCTTCGTCCACCCCGACTTCCGGGGCCGCAGTACGCGCGACTCTTGACACTCACACGCGCGTGTGGTGTGCAGTTGCGTGTTGATGGCTGACCGTCAGCGGTGCGTTGGCCACCACAGGCATCATGACGCTCATGCTCAACGACATCACCCAGAGGGCGAAGGATTTTGGCACCAAGGAGCTCTACCTGTGGACGCCCGACCCCAAGGTGGTGTCCATGTACAAGCGCCAGGGCTGGAAGGGTACGCTTTAGGGTGCAGAGGTCATCACCATCAATTGATTGATTGACCTACATTTGGGGGGGCGCAGAGGTGGAAGTGGTGGAGTACCAGAAGGAGCAGATCACCATCATGAAGCTCGAGCTCGCCTCTTGGCCGCCGCGCAAAGACGCCGCCAAACTCTGATGATGGTGCCACCCACCACACGAGGTCGTCGAGAATTACAAACAGCGTTTTTCCGAGTGCAGGACTGTAAGTGTGTGTGCGAACACGGTTGTTGAAGGTGAGGAAATCAGTGGGGCGCCATATTAATTGGGTTGCAGTTGGTTGGCAACCACCCAATCGGTTCGGCATTGACC